GCTGACCCTGGAGTTCACTGATTGATTCATCTGCGCTGACTGACTAGGAAGCTTCAGGGATTCTCCTGTCTCTGCCTCCATGGCTCTGGGATTACAGACACATGCCATTTCTCCTGGGTTTTCCCTCATTATTCTCATTACTGTTATTTATTTATGCTGTGTTTATATACAAAAGTCATGATCAGAGGGCAACTGACAGAAGTTAGTGTTCCTCTTTTACCATGGGGGAACGGGGGATTGAACTCAGTTTTGCCAGGTTTGGCAGCAATCACTTTTACCTGCTGAGCCATCTCATTTGCCAGGCAGCTGGCTTTCTACCTGCTGGGGATCCACACCCAGGCCCTCATAGTGTACTTACTGACTAAGCCATCTCTACACGGCCCCTGAACCTTTAGTTTTTACCAGGCCCCCTTCTTAGCTCTTTATGCTATTAGCTCATGTAATTGTCATAGCAATGTCATCTAACAGGAATTATCACTCTCCTCCTTTCTGCACAGAGACCTGAGGTGCAGAGAGGCTGAATCCCATGCTTGGGATCACACAGCTGAGAACTGCCAGAATGCTATCTGTTTCCGGAGTCCAAGTATGTAAACTCTTGTTATCCTGCCTCTACTACTATCTCTGGTTGATAACGAAACTGCAGTTGAATGGCATACAATAATCCATTCAAAGACCCACAGACCATGCAGTCATGTCTCACTTGGAATCCTGTTCCCTATTCTTTTCATATTCTCAGCTAGACACTGATCTGAGAGCTAGGACCACATTTGCGGTATCTTCTTGATCCCCTAAGCCAGCTGAAGTGCAGCGAACACAGTAGCTGCTTAGTAAACAGCTGGAGAAGTGGAGATTGCAAGATTGCTCCAAACCCATGGAGTCAGATCAATTTCCAGTACATGCGGTATTTACAGTGGGGCTCACCACCTGCCAGAAGTTGTTCTTTAATAATAAGATTAGAATGATTCGCAATTAACACATCAAAGCATCAGCTGACGGTACCCAAATCACTGCTCATTAATGGAGGCGCCTTCTTTATACAGCAGTGAGAGCCTTGCGGTTGGGAGAGCACTTGTGTAAATTGGTAAACAATGGTAATAATGATTTTAATAATTGTATTAGTGCCTTGTCATCAAACCAAGGATATAGTGTCAGGGGAGGAGCAGCTGCCCCCCACCCCACCCCGCACCCATGCATGCTTGCACACTACACTCACACACACACACACACACACACACACACACACACACACACACACACACACAGTAGGAAAACTACCAGTATCGGATTCTGCTTCCTAAACCGGTGAATCTTTCTTCTCTCCGTCTGTGTTTAAGCTCCCTCTGAAATGCTGGCTGATTTAGTGACAGGACAGCTTCAGAACCCAAACATTGTTTTCATTCCCACAGCCATTGCTGTGGTGTTCAGGGGAAGGTTTGGGCTCTAAGGGAGTCTGCTCTCCTGTTCTCCATCTCTATGTGCCAGCCACTGGGTTTTTTCTTACAGCTGCATCCCAAAGGGAAGTCAGAGCAGGCAAATGGAGGCAGGAACTGAAGAAGAGGCCATGGGGAATGCTGTTTATCGGTTTGCTCCCCCTGGTTAATTCAACTTCATTTCTTACTCAACCCAGGACTAGCAGCCTATGCATGGCACCACCCACAGTGGGCTGGCCCCTCCCACATCAACCATTAATTGAGAAAACACCCTAACCGGGCGTTGGTGGTGCATGCCTTTAATCCCAGCACTCGGGAGGCAGAGGCAGGCGGATCTCTGTGAGTTCGAGGCCAGCCTGGTCTACAGAGCAAGTTCCAGGACAGCCTCCAAAACAATACAGAGAAACCCTGTCTCGAAAAACCAAAAAGAAAAAGAAAGAAAAAGAAAACACCCTAGAGGCTTGCCTATACGACCATGTGATAGAGACATTGTCCCATTGAGCTTCTCTCTTCTTAGAAGACCTGAGCTTGTGTCAACCCACACACCAGGTGTCTCCCACAGGTCACATGGAACTATCTGCTTTTGTTTGCTTGCTTTTCAGAGACAGTATCCCAGAGATCTTTCTTCTTCAGACTCCTAAATGCTGGGATTATGGGTATGGGCCATCAAGCCCAGCAGAGAATCTCTGTTTATAGAGACTCTAGAGAATCCTCTCTGGGTCTGAGGTTTCTTGACGTATGAGAGCAGAGTTGACTCCCCCGGAAGGCTCTTTGTGTAGATGAACTGAATGTATCAACTGCCACTCAGACACATGTTTCAAGCCTAAATCTTCTGGCTGTATGACGCCCTTGAGCTATTTAACTTTACTAGCCTTAGATTCTTCATCTATAAAATGGGGATAGAAACATTATATTCCTCAGGGTTTTGTGGCCATTATGTGAAGTAACATATTTGAAGAGCTTAAACCTAGTAAAAACCAGTAAACAGATGTTCAACAGCCTTAGTTATTACTGTCCTCATTGTCATTGTCGTCATCATTATCTTCATCATCATCATCATCATCACTCTCCCTCTGGCCCAGTGCATGTGTTTTCTGGTTTGATCAGCATATATGGAATATCTCAATCTTTGGCTGTCTGTGTGGAACCCATATCTTAGTCATTGTTCTAGAGTCTTCATGGTTGGTTGTTAATAGAGCCATTGATATTGTTTGAAACAGGGTCTCATGTCCCACAGATTGCACATGTAACTGGAATTGGGTAATTCCCTGCACAAGAAAGAAGTTTCAAGGTGCCCTTAAACTTCTGACCCTCCCGAATTGGCCTCCAGAGTGCTGGGATTACAGGCATGTGCCATCATACCCAGTTTTTATGGTAAGGAGGGGTAGAATCCAGCACTTTGTATGAGCCAGGCGAGCGTCCTACCAACTGAGTCTAATCCCTAACACTGCTTCTGAATAGAACATACTTTTTATAAAAGCTGTGGTTATTAGGAGATTTTAATATAGATTTTAAGCACAAGGATTAAGGGAAAAGGGCTTTCAAAAAGAAAGACATATAATGGGCGTGGGCTTATCAAAAAGAGTCACCGAGCTTTTTTGTTGATTGCCATATTAACGATGGTGGAACAGAATATCAAGCTGCTCACTCACATCTCATGGATTTTCAGTTCAACAAGCATTCCATGAGCTTTCCCAAGGTCTTCAGGATACACACTTGATGGGGGATGTTCTTCTGTATATACGTTTCTCCTATTGGTTGATGAATAAAACGCTGATTGACCAGTAGATGCAGGAAGATAGGCATGGCCAGGAGACAAGGAAAATGCGGGGGAGAAATGCAGAGAGAGTGGCAAGGAGATGCCATGTAGAGACCAGGAAGATAGGATATTTCTCTGGCAAAATAAGACCATGTAGAAATACACGGGTTACTAGTATGGTTAATAATTAAGAGAGAGCTAGCCACTAAGAAGCCCTAGCCATTGGTCAACAGTTTATAAATTAATATAAGTCTTGTGTGTTTATTTGAGGCTAATCCAGCTGCAGGACCAGGCTGGAAAAAAAAAACCTCCAGCAACACATACTCGCACTCAGGCACACATGCACACATGCACGCACGCTCTCTCTCTCTCTCTCTCTCTCTCTCTCTCTCTCTCTCTCTCTCTCTCTCTCTCTCTCTCTCTCCCCCTATGCTTAGGAAAACTCAAACACAGCATGACACCAACCTATAACCCAATTTAAAGGAAAAGTTCCACTAACTCCTGGAAAGAAGAAATCAATTCCATCCAAAGGGAGATTTGGATTTTCAAACTGAGCATGCTCCTTCTATAGTTGCCTACTGGCAAACATGAACTAGAGTCCTAAAAGACAGAGTTAAAAAGCATCCCTGTGGCCTTCATGTTCTTGATGTCATTTTACAGATGTGGAAACAGGGGTTCAAGGACAGAGGCGAGTTGTCACACAGCACCATGGTGGGTGACTTTGGGGTAATGAAGACCTCCTTTTCTGTCTGGTGAGAAGAAAGCAAAAGCATGGGACTCCCTATTGGGACAAATGTCCTCCAGGTCTGATACCAGAACCTGGATGGTTACTGTGCCTCTCTGACTTAGTCACCTAGTGCATAAGCATTTAGGATATCTGAGGGTTTAAGGATACAGCTCAGTGAAGAGTGTTTGCCTACCATGTGTAAGGCTCTGGGTTTGGTTCCTAGCACAGCAAAAAATAAAAACAAGAAAGCTAGTGAGACCATGAAACATGCCTTCAATTCCAAATGAGTTCATTTAAAATTAAAACTAAAATAATAATAATAAAAAGAAAGGTGGAGGGGAGGTATGGAGTTGACTCAGTCAGTAAAATGCTTGCCTTGTGAGCATGAGGCTCTGAGTTTGATCCCCAGGGTCCTTGTAGAAAAAGCCAGCTATGGTAACATGTACCTGTAATCCCAGAACTAGGGATAGGGAGACAAAGAGAGACGGACCCAGCCTACTTAGAAAGTTCCAGGCTAGGGAGAAACATGTCACAAAGGATGAACAGGCTCTGAAGAAGAGCTCTTGAGACCATCCTTTAGCCTCTACACACAGGCAAACATAGTGCACATGCATCACACACAGAGGACTGTGTCCACACATACATGCAAACATACAAAACATACATGAAATACATGGCACATAGAAATGATAAAAACAATACGTAAAATACAGCATGTGCTTTTCGAAGTATATATTCTTCCTTATTTTCATTGCAGCATAGCCAATGCTGGCCAAGCTGAGAGTGATGCAGGAAGTAGGTTCAAAGGGAGGACCACTCCAACAGCCTCTACTGAGGCCACACCCATACCACCTTGCTCTGCCAAGGCATCTTTGTTTGTCAGGGGCTTGGTGATTGTTTGTAATAAGTACGTCTTATCTCACAATTCACCTCCATGCTGTGGAGAATTGTAATAGCATCAGTGGAATAGCATCAGTAAATTCATGTGTGTGTGTGTGTGTGTGTGTGTGTGTGTGTGTGTGTGTGCATCTCTCTGTGTGTACATATGTGTATGCGTATGAAAAGTCAGAGGTCAGACACAACAGAAATTCTTATACATTCAAGACTTAAGAGTATCTATATCATTATTTTATTTCATTTATTTAAAGGTAGTAACTGTGGACCCCAGGACACACTTTGATCATCTGCATATTTAAAAATTAAACACAGCCGTGGGTCATTGACGATTTCAAATGCTGGCTCCAATGGAGGAGGCAACAACTAGGCCTGAGCGCTTTCAAAGCGCCATGGGGACAGAGGTGTCTGGAACCTGGAAGTCAGGTTTTCTCAGTCTGTCTCAATGGCAGAAGTCCCCAGGGAGGGTGTGCTGGAGCTCTGCGCTTACTTTGAAGTTTCTGGGAGGGAGGCCCACTGGGAAATTCCTGGAACGCCCTCCAACTGGCTCCATGTCAGACCCCCAAGACCAGGGAGGCATTCAAAGGGAGGTCCTGCAGGAACCATTTATATGGAGATCTCCTCACAGGCTGTTCCGGGCTTGGATGCAGTCCACAACTAACAGGTGATTTCTGTTCCAACCAGAAGATGCCTAACCAGTTCCGGCTTCTAACCAGGTGTAAGGGCCAAATACACCCACTTAAAGAGAAGAACAGAGGAGGAAAGAGACAGAGACAGACAGACAGACATATAGACAGACAGACAGAGCCGTTTCCCTCTAGTTTTGTACCACCATGCAGCCCTACATGCCCCTGAAAAACACCTTCCATCTTGGTTCATCCAGATGTTCAGATGTTTGAAGCTGTCAAATCCAGATTTCTTGTGTGTGTGTGTATATGTTACTTCACATATATGATGGTGTGTACATGTTTGTGTATGCATGCCTGTGGAGGTCAGAGGTCATTTTGAAGCAGAGCCCTTCACTGGCCCACTACTCAAACTGTTTGGCCAGCGAGTCCCAGGTACCTTCCTGTTCCCAGTGGCTCCCTTCAGTGTTAAGATCACAGGCCTGTGCTACCATGCCCAGCCTTTTTTCCCACACAGATTCTAGGGATCAAAATCAGCTCCTTGGTCCTGCATGGCAAGCACTTTGCCCAAAAAGCCATCTGCCCAGCCAGAAGGCTAGCTTTGGGAAATACATTCCCCTCTTCCTTTTCTGGCCCTTAGCTTCCAGATGTTGTCTTGTTTTCACTATGCTAAGAGTCAAATCAGGGCTCTTGCATGCTAGGCAAGCACTCAACTATTGATCAAAACTCCAAGGACTGAGATCTGGCTTACACTGAGAAGGTCACAACTGAGTCACGTCTTACAGCCTAAGCCCCTGTTACTCACTAAATAAAGAAGAAAACACAGCACCAAGGTTTCCAGGTGAACAAAGCCCCACGATAGCAGGTAAGAAAGCCAGAATCCACCTTGGTGGGCAGCAGGTCCGCCTCTACTTGATTTTGTAATAGCGAAAGTGTCAGCTTGCCATTCCACACAGTCAGCCCAGCCATCAAGAAGTACAAGCTGACCTAATGATTAACTAACCGGTAGCGGAGAGTTCCTAAGAGTTCCAATACTACCTCCCCTCATTAGAAGCCTTTGTGCTATCACCTGAGCTAAGCAGACCTTGGAAAGATTGCAGCCTGTCTAGGACTGCTACTCAGCCCTTGCAGTACTTATCCCGGCGTACTGTGGGATCCGGGGCCCATCACCCACAACCTGGGCAAGTGGCATCCTAGAGAGCCTCTGCTCCGGGACTCCAGTGCTTTACAGGGAGGTGACCCCTCGCTCCTTTCTCTTCATCGCTTGTGAGCTCTGACGTCAGCCTAAGCAACCCAAAACTCTGAAGGAGGGAGCAGGTGAACCCTCTTCTTACCCACCTGAGCCATAGCACTGCTTGTCTCTGTTCTCTTTGAACCCCAAGGCCTGTAGAAGATAGAAGAGTGTTTCTTAATCTGAAATGTGCACACAACACAGGGGCTTTTAGTTAAAAGTGATGATTGACTCCAGAAGGATGGCTCAGCCCTTAATGGCACTGGTTGCTCGTGCAGAGGACTTGGCTTCGATTCTCAGTACCCACAGAGTGACTCACAACTATCGGCAACTCCAGTTCCAGGAGGTTCCATGCTTTCCTCCGTGAGGACCAGACACACGTATAGTGCACACATGTACATGCAACAACCATACACATAAACAAATCGTTTTTATGTTTTTGTTATATATTGTGTCTCTCTGTCTCTCCCTGGGGGTGGCAGAGTGAAGTGTTTTTAATTAATCTAAATCAATGAAAACTCGGATTCAGATATTGGGGTAAAGACCCGGAAGATCAGAGAACCAGGAGCAGCCAGCCGCCAGTTGTTTCCCACCTGTCTCCTTGCAGTCAAAAGGCTGAGATGCTGTCTACACCCTACCTTATCATTTCAGGTCTCCACCACCTCCTGAGTGCTGGGATTAAGGGTGTGAGCCACAAGGGCTTGGATTAAAGGCATATACCACCACTGCCTAGTCTAGCTGAATCTGTGAGTTCAGCTTTAGTGCTGGACCATGTCTCAAAAAATGATGTGGAGAGTGATGGAGGAAGACACCCAATGTCAGCCTCTGCTCTTCATGTGCTTACACATGTACCATCCCGTTGTGTGATATTTTGTTTGTGTCCTGATAAATAAAGATTGTCAGAGGGCGGGACTAGCCATTGCCCATAGATAGAAGCTGGGCAGTGGTGACATACCAAGGAAGGAAGAAGGAAGGAAGGAAGCAAAAGAGGGAAGGAAGGAGAAAGAAACACGGAAGGAAGGAAAAGAAAGGAAGGAAGAAAGGACCGTCCCAGCTGTTGGGCATTTTTTAAATTAGTGATTGATGGGCCCAGCCCATTGTGGGTGGTGTCATCCCTGGCTGGTGGTCCTGGGTTCTGTAAGAAAGCAGGCTGAGAAAGCCATGTGGAGCAAATCAGTAAGCAGCACCCTCCATGGCTTCTGCATGGGCCACTGCCTCCAGGTTCCTATCCCTTGTGAGTTCCTGCCCTGGCCTCCTTCAGTGACGGACTACAAGTGGAAGCAAAGCCCAAGATACCCTTTCCTCCTCAGCTTGCTTTTGGCTATGGTCTTTCATCACAGCGATAGAAACCCTGACTAAGACAAGGTCCAACCTATCCATGGGTTTATTTCATGTTTTTTGTTCCATCCTTAACAACGATAAGTATCCATAGTAACTCCCCTACACACTGTTCAACAGATTATTTTACAGCAAGTATTTCATGTAACTTTGCAAGAATCCCAGGGTGCTGGTGTTATCTTCAAGCTAAGGAAACCAATGCACAGCAAGTTTAAGTCCCTGGCTCCAGGTCACAGCTACCACATACAAGGTTTTCCCAGTACCCCCTACATCATCCTGTTTTCAGCACACCTTCCCAGTACCCCCTACATCATCCTGTTTTCAGCACACCTTCCCAGTGCCTCCTACATCATCCTGTTTTCAGCACACCTTCCCAGTGCCTCCTACATCGTCCTGTTTTCAGCACACCTTCCCAGTACCGAGTCACCATCAGTTGGGAAACAGGATCAAACTGAAATCACCTATGATGTGGGGATTGTCTTCTCATGTTTATTATCCTCTCCAGTCTGGACCATCTACTCCACTCCCCAACCTTTGACACTGTTGCAACAGTCCTAAGTTAAAGTGGGAGAAGGTGAGCTCAGAGAAAGCTTCTCATCAACCTCAGGCCACCAAACAGACCACTTGACATGGAGATTCCATTTTTGGTCACTTTTTTCTAACAACTGTTTTTCCTCCCTGTCCCTTCCCTGTCCCCTTCCTTCCTTCTTGTCTGTCTGAGGTTGTTTGTTTGTTTTGACACAAGGTCTCATGTAACCCAGCTTAGTCACAAACTCATGATGCAGCTGAGGGTGACCTTGAACATCTGATCTTCCAGCCTCCACCTCCTGATTTCCTGACCTGTCCTTCTACCCTTGCTGAGACTTGGTCATGTTGCTTTGGAGCAAACTCCACGGAGGACCAAGAGGAATGAAGTTATCTTGGAAAAGTTACTAAATGGATGTGGATTTGTGCGAATGACAATATGAACATTTTTGAGACTAAGTCACAGTCACTGCATGAATAATTCACTGTTCCCTCCACTTGACTTTAGGCTGAAAGGATACAATACAGCACCTGAAAGGAGTTCTGCTCTGGTTTCTCCAGGGGAGGGAGAGATTGTGAAAGCTGCTTTCCTACCTGGGTAACCACCCTTCTCCTGTGATAGTTTCCCCTTGATGGATCCTATGGGAATGGCCTCTATCCATCTCCACGTGGAGATTCAGAATGAAAATACTGAGGAAGTTCCTCACGGTGTCTGTAACACAAAAAGTAAAGACCCAGGGACTGATATTGGGATTCAAACTTCAAGCTAAAGATCAGAAAAGCAAAACAGCTGGCCACTAGCTCTTACCTCTACCTCAGACCGAAAGGGATGTCCTGTCCTCAGCGTGGCTGGAGACTAATTCTCCCCACCAAACCTCAGACTGCAATCCTGTCTCCACCAATCCTCAAACTCCAATCCCAGACTGCTGCCCGTAATGTGCATCTTCCCCCCAACCTGGTCCCAGAGCTGCATCAGTCCCAAATGAACACATATTAATTATGAAGCCGTTGGCCGTTTGCTTGGTTTCTTTTCTGCTAGCTCTGACTTAATTATTAACCCATAACTGCTAATCTGAGTATTTCCATGTGGTCTTCTCTTACTGGAGAAAGGGTCAGGACCTCTTATTCCTCTGTGTCCTACATCATGGCTGACTGTGTCTCAGTTCCCCAGGATCCTCTTCAACTCCTAGTCCCACCTATCTTGCTTCCCTATTGGCCAACAGTGCTTTATTTATACCAATCAGACAAGCATATACACAGAAGGACTTCCCCCATCAGCAGCCTCTTCCTTTTATACCTCTCAAATCCTGGGATTAAAGGCATGTGATCCCAACTGCTGAGATCACCTTTGTGTGAGCTGTTTCTCTTTAGGACTGGATCAGTTTTGTGTAGCTCAGTGTGGCCTTGAACTCACAGAGATCTGCCTGTCTCCTGAGTCCTGGGATTACAGGTGTGTACCACCACTGCCTGACTCTATGGCTTGCTAGCATGGCTGCTGGGATTAAAGTTGCGTATCACCACTGCCTGACTCTGTGGCTTTGTGGCTTGCCTTGCTTTCTGTACCCTCAGGCGAGCTTTAATAAATCATAATATGTCATCACCACAGGTGTCTTACTGTTCTATTGCTGTGAAGAGACACCATAGCCAAGGCAACTCTTACAAAGGAAAGCATTTGATTGGGGTTGGCTTACAGTTTCAGAGGTTTAGACCGTTAGCATTACTGTAAGAGAGCATGGTGGCACACGGGCAGGATAGCGCTAGAGAAGGAGTTGAGAGCTTTACATCCCCACCCTCAGGCAGCAGGCAGAGAGAGGGGAGAGAAGGGGAGACAAGTGGGGTGAGTGAGAGGAGACAGGTAGGTCAAAGCCCAGCCCCAGTGACACATCTACTCCAGCAAGGTCACATCTCCTAATCCTTCCCTGACAGCTCATCAGTTGGGGACTAAGCATACACATATATGAGGACTAATCTTATTAAAATCACCATCCATGGGCTGTTGGTCCCAAGGGCATCTCTCTGTGACTGATTAAAAAGCAACAACAATAGCAACAGGAACCAATGCTTCCAGCTGGCTGGCAGAGACAGTTCTCTCCACTTTGGGAGAGAATCTTATGGGACCACAGCAGGGAACTCTACTGTGACCCATCTCCTAACATTGAATGGATGAAGGAAGAGAAGGATGAGGGATGAGAACCCTTATGTTCAGTGGGCCTGACAAGCCATACAAAGATGCGGAACGGTGAGGGAAAACAGACAGAAGCGAGCCACAGGAGGCCTCGGTGCAACCTAAAAGTGGCCCATAGCAAGGCTGTGAGGACAAGAGAAAGCTAGAGAGGTCTCAGAAACTGAACCACAAGAGTTTCCATGGCAACCTGGTAACCTCAAGCTTTATCTTCTGGGGGACAGCAGCCAGTCATTCAATGCTTTCAAAAAAAAAAAAAAAAAGGAATAAAGTAGAACTTGGTTTTTCCACTGGCCAAAAATGGATGGGAGAATTAAAGGTGGGAAGGGTTCTCCTGATTTCATGGGTTTGTGAACCAACTCATGAGGAGCCACCAGGGCTGTAGGCGGGAGAACCTGAGGTCTTGGTGTCTGCTTAGCTGGAAGAAGAGGAAGAGGGAGCCAGGGCTCCCTTGGGATTTCTCTCTCTGAGCCACCAGAGGAGAAGCGGGTTTCCGCGTGCAGTTGCGAATGGGCGAAATCTCCATCCTGTTGCTATTCTGTTTCCCTTTCATTTAGTTTGGACAAGGGAGGCCACACTCCTTCAATAAGGCCTTTCTTTCCCCTAGCCAAGTGGGTCATTCACTGAAGTTGGTGGCAGGGGAGCTGACGGAAGGGCTGAGGGCCAGGGATATTAGTAAACACGGAGCAAGGACTCAGACGGTGGTTAAACAGCGAGCTTGGCTGAACTAGGAGGAGCACCTGCCCTGCATCCCATGTTTCAGATGCCCAGAGCCCTGGCAGGCGCCTAGGCCTGGCCACTCACTCACTCACCCAGTGTCTCCAAACCCAGGGAGACAGAGGCACAAAGAGCAAAAGCAGTGTCCCAGGGGACAGGTTCCGGGCTCCGGGATGCAATGTGGAGACTATTCTTGCACCTCAGGCTTCAGCGTATCTTTTTATGACAATGGAGTTTCATCTGTTTTTCTGTTTCCAAAATGTCTACATACTTCAGACTCAGCAAGATCCTCAGGACAGCAACCAAAAGGAGACCAAAGCCCCACACATCTCAGGCTGCCTCCCAGAACAAGCATGCTCACCCCATAACTCCCGGTGGCCAACTCAGAGGTCAGACCGCAGTCCCCTTCCCAACACTTCCTAGCCTCACAAAGGGAAGGAGGAAAAAAAAATCCCTTCTCCTTCTCCTTTACTTCCTTTAAAACTTTTATTTTGGTTTTTATTTAACTCAAGGGTCTCTCGTTTCTCTCCCTTTTATCTCTCCTTTCCTCCATTTTTCTGTCTTATGCAGTACGGGGCTGGGGGTGAGGCTCAGTCCTGAAATCACAGTACTTTGGAGGCTGAGGCAAGAGACTTGCTGGATTCTTGGCCAATCTAGACTACATAGCAAGTTCCAGGCCAGCCTGAGCTACAGAGTTAAGACCCCGATTCAAAACAGCAACAAATCTCCTTGTCTGTCTGTCTGTCCGTCTGTCTGTGCTTATCCCTATCACTCTGTCTTGCTCTCAAGTGTGTGTGTGTCTCTTTCTTCAAATTTCAAAGAAAACCCATTGAATAACTGACTATTCAGGACCTGCAGAATGAGGCCTCTTTGGGCTGGGCTGTAGTCAAAGCCCTGTGCACTTCTCAAAGGGACTGCAGGCTGATCTACCCAGAGCAAGGCAGCGACTGTGGCAGCAATGCTCCCCGCACTGAGACTGGCCATCTGTATGCAAATCTCAGCGACCCAGCACACTTGCATCAGCCCGACTGGCCTGGCGGGCTGTGCCTCAGCAATTATCAGTGCACATCGGGCCTTTGTGCCCGTGGTCGGGCTTTGTGGGCGCCGAGGCTGCCCAGCACCTGCATCTCGGAGGTGGCAGATGGCAGGACTTGGCAGCAATATGGAAGCTTGCCTGAATGTGGCTGAGCCACAAATGGGCATCTTTTATTTCTTCCTGGGGGTGGGGAGCTCAAGAGAAAGAAGGATTAGTGCTAGATTACCACCCATTTATTGGCTTGGCAAATATTTATTGAGTGCCTACTATGTGTCCTGCCACCAGTGGCCTAAAAGGGAGCCCCTCAAAGGACACGGGTATGACTATTAAGAGAAAGAAAGAGACCCGAGAATGGACTATTGGCATTCAAAATCCCTACATAGGCAACTGATAACATACTTCCAACACAGTATAACACACAGGGCTCCTCCCCTTCTGTAGGCCCACAGAGCCGTCAGTCCCTTCCTGGTGGACCCATGCACCACAGGGATGTGCAAGCTGTTAGAAGACCACAGTACCACAGCTGGAGTGTCCCCACCCATGTGATGAAGTAGCACTGAAGGAATTGACATGATGGCTCACGCCTTTACTCCCAGCCCTAAGGCAGAGGCAGGTGGATCTCTGAGACCAGCCTGATCTACATAGCGAGTTCCAAGATAGTCAACGGTACTACCCGAGAGACCCTGCCTCAGAAAAGCCAACAAATAAATAATAGCAGCTTTGAAGGTCCATTAAGGGAAAGCTGTTGCCTCCAAGTTCATAGACTAGAATCCACCTCTGGCTGGACACAGGCCATTGTCTGTTTCCTAAAGACTTAAGCAAGTTGGCCCAACCAAAGGAGCACCCCTAGAAGGTGGTTATACCCGGAGCCATGTTAAAGAGATGGGAAGAATAATTAGACCTTTAATGAGATAACGTACCATCTTCTGTCTCAGGCCCCTCCATCTGCCATGGACTTCCCCTGGGTCAGCCTGACTCTGAGAAGCATAACTTCTCCCCTTTTTCTCCTGGGCTTTCCTTCTGGGTGCTGATCACACTCCAAGCATGCTCTCTGGTACTTTGATGTTTTCTTCTCTTTCTCTTCAGCTGCCTTCCCAGTGCACGGCTGCCTGTCCGACATCTAGCTGACCTCCATGCCAGCTAAAACTGCTTGGCTTTCATCTTTCTGTCTCCCTCCTGGCAGATGCTGCTGTTTACAGCTTGCCTGTTTGCGAGTTTTTCTTTTAAAATTGCCCTTGAGTTCCCACTTGAGTCTGTTCTTAAATTCTTTTATCAATGAGGCTGAGAACCCCAAGAGAGGACCCCCAGTTTCCCAGTATCATATAGATACATATATTCTTTATTTAAATTGTGTTAATCAGTTAGTGCGTGCGTGCGTGCGTGCGTGCGTGCGTGCGTGTGTGTGTGTGTGTGTGTGTGTGTGTGTGTGTGTGTGTACACCCATGCCAGATGAGCTTGTGGAGGTCAAGAGAGCAGCCTGTGGGAACTGTTCACCTCCTTCTACCGTGTGGGTCCCAGGTATTGAACTCAGAACATCAGGCTTGGCAGCAAGCACTTTTACCCACAGGGCCATCCCACTAGCCCAAGGGTGCAGTGAGCTGGCAGCGAAGATGATTTGCATTCCCTTTGGAGGCAGCTGTAGTCTTCTGGGAAGGCGGTGACCTTCCCATTCAACCCTTCTGGAAATACTTTTGCCGATTCACACAGAAGTGTGTTTCCACGGTGACCTATGCGGAAGCATCCTTCTGCAGAGTTCCGTGGGCTAACGCTGGCTGCATTTGTTACCTTCTTGTTGATGTGATGAAATCCCTATCGGAAGAGAGATTTATGGGAGGGAGGGAGGGATCATTTTGGCTCACAGTTTGAGGGTACTGTCTGCTGTGGCTGGAAAGGAATGGTATAAGGTCATGTTCCATCTGCTTTCAAAGAACCAAGAGATGAATGGAGGTGCCCAGCTCCCTGCCTTATTCCCTCTGGGACTCTAGTTCGTGGGATGTCTCCTTTTTGTTTGTTCATTGTAGAGGGTCCTGGGGATCAAATTCAGAGCTTTGTGCACACTAAGCCAGCACTGTACCTCTCAGCCATGATCCTAGTTCATAAACTATTGGGTTTATTTGCTTTACACAGCGCTTTCTGGATGGACTGAACACATTTCCTTCAAGGACAGGAGATCTCTGCTTCATACAGACAGCTATTGCAATGTCAAGGTATTTTTTTAAGGAGCCATTTTAACAGGACTTAAAGATTACATTTTTTATATTTTAGCTCAAAATGAGGAATGCACTTGCTGTCTGTCACTCCACACGTCTGAGCCCAGGTTTCTGTACAACTCTGCTCGCTACCCTGCCCCTGGGTCCTTGTTCCATCTCTCAACTTCTCCTTGCTGCGTCACACTGGCCTTGAACCCCCTCCTGCAGAAGCCAAGTGTTTTGATGCTGTGTCTGCAAAACTCCTGCTCTGAATTATGAAGTGTAGGAAAACGGAAGCAAACACGCTCAGGAGGGATGCTGCTAGGTCTTACTGCTCCATTTGTCTTGGTCCATTAGGGCTGCTGTGACAAATGACCACAGATGAAGTGATTCCAACAGCAACCATTTACTTCTCCCAGCTGCAGCTGCTGCAGGTCTGAGGTGAGGGGCGGGGAAGTGACATCTGGAAAAGCCCCATCCCTGGCCTGCAGGGATTCTTGCTGTGGTCTCCCATAGTGGACACCCGAGAAGAGGCATGCTTCTCCTCCTTTTATAAGAACACTAATAATGATAATAATAATATCTCATCTGGAGTGATCCACTCTCCTACTGGCCCGTTTCCAGAAGGTTCGCCACAATGTACAGGCACAGTGTGGTTCAACACTGAGTTCAGTCTGTGGTGTCATGGAGAAGAAAAACAAGGTTGAGGGGAAGACAAGTTAAGGGTCAAACCTTGCGTGGTTGTCAATACATGCAGAATGAAGCTAAATCTGGGAGCATCGAGATGGCTAAGTCTAACAGTAGGGTTAGGACCAGCAATTAAAGAGGAAGAAACCGCCCCTCACCCCCAACCCTCCCACCTTCCACAAGGTGACAGTTGCCCCTATCTCCTGATAACTCTCTGGTGCCATTTGGGGGCGTGTAGTCAAAATACTCACTGGGCGTGTGAGGGCTGTTGCCATCACAGCCGCACTGTAGATTCCTGGGGTCTCTGCCCGATTCTCATGGCCAGAAGTAGCTCCCTGCTCCCTGTGCAAGGAGCTGGACCATACTGCAGTCCTGTCTCCAGAGCTCTGGAAATAACCATCTGCATATTTCCAGAAGGAAGAGCAATGGCTCACCAAGATGGGAATCCAACCTAAAAGTTTATAGCAGTTCATTCTGTGCCGGTAGGTGCTTTTGTTTTTGTTTTGTTTTGTTTCTGTTGTGCTGTGTTTTGAGACAGAGTCTCACTATGTAGACCACGATGGTGCCCAACTTGCTGCAACCCTTCCTCAGCTTCCTAAAATGAAAGGATTACAGGCCCATTGAGTCATCAAAACACCACCGTGTTAGAGGCAAGTTTAACAGAGGTGAGTAATCTTAAGGTTAGGGTGGGAGTGGGTCTCCTAATTTAACTAAAATAAAAGTGAGAGGAGAGGTAAGAATTTAAAAAAATGTTTTAAATGAGAATAAAGTAAAATGAGTTGAAGACCAGTCCAGTAACTCGCACAGGATCTTGAATGCAGGATGGGACTTGCATTGAAATGCAATGAAAAACCATGTGATGTCCTGGGCTTCCTCAAGCCTATTTTAGATAGACTGGGGAGTAATGGCTTGAATTGGGAAATAAAGTTGGAATTGTTAAACCAGGGAGCTGAAGCCAGGGGAAGGGGCTCTTGAAGATAAGTAGATGCCTTTTCCTTAATAGAAGATGAGATAGACCTGAAAGGAGGAGAAATCTGTTTGCCTGGAATCATCTGTATCTCCCAATCCGATGGGGTAGCACTGCCTGGAAGAACTGCTCTAACTGAACAAGAGATGTACCTAGTGCAGTCTCTGGCATGTAGCAGGGTCATAACAGCTGTTTGATAAATGACTCGCCCTGTAGATGAATGAGACCATGGGAGAAGGGTTGGAGAGATTAATGACTGGCAGGTGGGATAGATTTGTGCATGCATGAAGAGAGGGAGGAAGGGAGAGGGGTCATTGCTGAGTGTATTCTTCAAGATCCAGTTCAAATGCTGTCTCCTCCAAGAGGAAGAGGCCTTTGAGGACTTCCTCTAAGCCATAACCCCCCAACACACACACACCAACTGACCTCTTTGACCATGCCCATCACTAATATAAAGTCCTCTCTTAGGCTGCTGTCTCCTGAATCACTTGGGGAAGATGCTCGAAGATTAGATGTAAGATGTAGATTATATGCTTGATGGGGACCTCACCTGCACATTGTGAGGCTGGGAGGGAGACAAGGTTTTTCATGGCGAGCATGGCATCAAGCATTTACCAACACCCCCCAACCCCCACTGGGAAAACTGGAGTGTGCCCTGGGAAGCCCCCAAGAGTCATAGTTGAGTTATCCCCCCTAGAAACTTGGCTGCCATCATTCCTGTAATGATCCAGGCCACAGTTCTTGCACCCTGGTTTTATTAGGCAGTTGGCCTTTTGGTTATGAGTCATTTATGATGTTTAGAACACGAGCCACTCAGGGACACCATGGTAAGGGTCATTTTGAACCCCTGCTTATATCTGCTTCCACTATTGGGCTGGCCATGTGTCTCCTTTCTTTTGACTAAGTCCACAGGGTAACGTGCTAACACAAACACTTCAGAGGGGAAAGCAGCGATTCCCAAAGAAGATGAGGAAAGAATGGACTGCATTGTTACAATGTGATTCCTAGCCAGATGCCATGGTTTGGGAAAATAGAAAGCAGTGTGTGTGTGTGTGTGTGTGTGTGAGAGAGAGAGAGAGAGAGAGAGAGAGAGAGAATGTGTGTGTGAGTGTGTGAGTATGTGTGCAAACGGGGAGAGAGTGTGTGAGTGTATGAGTGTGTGTGTGTGTGTGTGAGAGAGAGAGAGAGAGAATGTGTGTGTGAGTGTGTGAGTATGTGTGCAAACGTGGAGAGAGTGTGTGAGTGTATGAGTGTGTGTGTGTGTGTGTGTGTGTGGTGTATGAGAGAGAGAAAGACAGAGAATGTGTGTGTGAGTGTGTGAGTATGTGTGCAAACGGGGAGAGAGTGTGTGAGTGTATGAGTGTGTGTGTGTGTGTGGTGTATGAGAGAGAGAAAGACAGAGAATGTGTGTGTGAGTGTGTGAGTATGTGTGCAAACGGGGAGAGAGTGTGTGAGTGTATGAGTGTGTGTGTATGTGTGTGTGTGTGAGAGAGAGACAGAGACAGAGACAGAGACAGAGACAGACAGAGACAGAGAATGTATGCATGCTCAAATGTAGATAGGGAAAATTAACAGAACTGGTCATGGTTCTTGAGGCTTTAGACAAATCAGTCTTTCTCTCTGGGCTGCAAGTCAGATCGTTAAGAGGTCAGACAAGGCATCCCCTTCTTCTGTTGCTGAAGATGTAGGAGCAGGGTCCTATAGATGCATCCACCTTCTCTCATCATAGGCATTTGTATACACATTTAGTTCTCTGACCATCCAAACTTCTCAGGGTTTTTGGCACTACTAAGCCATACATTTTCCCAGAGTCCTCCACAAGAAAGTTTGCTTTTATCTACTCCAAATACATAGAAAGTAAATAAAACCAAGAAAGAGAAAAAGAGGGAAAACCCGCTGTGTAACATGTACTATATACCAGGTTTTAGACCCAGAAGTTTCACATCTGAATCCTCACACGATACCCCTGGGAGATCAAGAGGTCTAGTTTTTATTTGTTGTTGTTGTTGTTGTTGTAATAGAAAAGGTAATTGAAGATTTCCCTCCACCTTGAGTCTAGCCTAATTCCAAATCTGCATCCCCTCTAGGACATAATGCCGGAAATCAGGAGAGCTCTATAAGCAGAAGTCCCTCTGGGAGATCTGCTCTCCTAAGAGCCCAGCTCACAACGGGCTCAGTCCCCTACCTGTGGGCCAGTTCCCACAGAAGACAACTATTGTGAGTTGAATCTGAACTGTTCCCAACAGGCTCTTGTTTTAAATTCTTGTTCCAGCTTGTGGTCCTATTTTGAAAATCATCACACCTTCAGAAGGAGGGCTTAGCCTCAATAAAAGTTGCTAGGGGTTGATTTTTTTAAGGTTACACCCACCACTGAGTCTAGCCTGAGCTCAGTTTCCTATCTCCCACCAACTAAACAAGTTGCAAGCACATGTAGGCACACTGCCACCTGCGTTTTGAAATTTTTGATGGTTGAAAAATTTTGAAATGTACCTCTCCTGTCTGAAGTTGTCTCTGTGGAACATTCTGGTCACCATGACAAGAGAAGTAACTAGGGGTAATTTGTTTTTAATCAGTTCTATAAACACTTGATGAGAGATGAGAGAGAGCTTACCAGTAGAACACTTGCCTAGTATGTATGAAGCACAATATGAGGCCCTGAATTTGTTCCCTGGAATTTATGTATGGGGAGTCATAGACAGGCAAATCCCTGGAGTTCAATAGACAAGTACCCTATACTAATTGTCAAGCTACAGGCCAGAGGAAAGATCCCATCTCAAAACACAGAATGGGGGCTGGAGAAACCGCTCTTCTGTTAAGGACTCTTGCTACTCTTTCAGAAGACCAGAGAGTTTGGTTTCCAGAACCTAAACATGATGGCTCATAACAATCTATAACTCCAGTTCCAGGTGATCCAAACCTACCCAGCCATGTCCCATGTATGCCCGCATATACTCAAATAAAAATAAGTAAGCCTAAAAGGTCAAACAAACAACAACAAAAACAAGATTGGTGGCACCTGAGTAATGACACACACACACACCCAAGGTTGACATCTGGCTTCCATGAGTGTGTACATGCATTGCATGAGCTTTTTTTTTCTCCTCAAAAACAAAATAAATATGCATACGCAGAGAGGGAGGAAGGGAAGGAGGGAGGGAGGGAGGGAGGGAGGGGGAGGGAGGCAGAGAACGAGGGAGGGAGGGAACGAGGGAGGGAGGGAGGGTTTTTTTCAGAGAGCTCATCCCTGTCCTTGGAACTGAACAGACCCATTTGAAGCTGAGCCCCATGAACCAGCTTTGGAGACAGTGGTTCCTCAAACTTCACTCTGGAATCTGAACCCTCTTTTGTAGCAATCCCAGGTCACTGTTCTTGGCCCTGCTCTTGCCTGGCCTGCCTCGGACTTCCAGCTCCTGACAAAAATACTCAGTTGCCCTCCTTATACGCCTTCAGTAGCCAATCGCTCCTATGGCTGGACCTCTGGACCAGGTAATGGTAGACAGTTAGCATCCAAGACTACCTGACCCATTGTCCAGTGAGGCTCTCCCCGATGAAATCAGCTTATGGAGGACAGAAAGACTTCCTTAGCTCATTTCCACAGATGCCATGTCATCTCTCAGGGACAGCTTACCCTCACCGTTTCCTTCCTGCTCTGCTCCATCCTCCTCAGCCTTCAGAGACAAAGCTGGTCTCTTCCCTAGACAGCCCCTTGCATCCTGCACCCAGCGATTAGATGACTTCTTGGGCTGACCTGCTTCAGGTTAAATGAGCCTATTCATTGAACTTTTCCTCCTCTGAACTATATATGGCCCTCCTATCAGTTTCCTGGCTCCTTTTGGACTCCCAAGGTGAAGGATAGAATTCAGAAAACATTCCTGAGTGGAGGCCCTTACAAACCCCCTCCTGGGGAGCCAGGCATGCCATGGCCTCCAGAAAAGGAGCAGATACTCTTTTCACACTTTACCTTAGCTCCACCCTGCTCCGTGTGCTTTGAAGAAACCTTGCCATCACCATTAAGAGGCTATGAAACGTATTTGAAGATAATCTGTCCAATTCCAGGTAGGGAGCATGCTAACTACGATTCTATACAATCCCTACACTTACGACCCGGAAACTGTCACAAGTAAGGGGGGCTAGGCTGGTTCCTGTTTCTAATTAATCTATTAACTCCCCTCTTTCCTGACTCAATTGCTCTCCTCCACTTTCATGACACACACATATCAAGTACTCTTCCATTAATCCGTGGCACTCGGAGCCGTCATTGGAGGCTCTCTCTTCCAGGTGTAATTTGCTGTAATCACCACAGAAAATGAAAGCCATTTTCCAGAAGCCAGGGAGTAGGAGACACTCATTTGTATCCTTTTCAAGTCCTAGATGGCTGCCTGGTTCCCCAGAGGTCAAATAACAGCAGTGCTTGTCATTTTGCTTCCTTCACATGCCGGACTCTCTTGGCATCCTAGTGGCTGCCCTGGTAAAGAGAACATTTAATCCTAGCTCTCTTCCCAGGTTCCAGGACGATTGAAAATGCTCTTTTTTTTTTCCTTTTTTTTTCTTTTTTTGCCATGAGCTGATAAATAAGAAATGACACATAAGTATTAAGTGTAGCCAATCACCAAGACTGACAATGGCAT